GGCCTCCGCGCTGCTCGCGCGGCTGTTCTCCTGCTTGGCCGCACTGTTTCGCGTCACGCTTTTTAGTTCCATATTGCTGGGGTTCACCGTGTCATCCAAATTCAGGTGAGGGGGATGTGCAGATGCATTCTGATTGGGGGTTTTGGTTGTTCCTTGGATGAAGTCTTGTTTTGGAGGAGGGGCTTTTGCTTGACCAAACGTGTTTGGGGGTGGAATAAAAGAATGATTCGGTTCTAGCGGAGAGGCAAAATTTGAATTGTTTCCAGGAACAAAATTAGGTGCCAAGTCAGGGTTAGATACTTGGCTAGCATTCTGTGGGGGCATCTGACCAAAGTTTTCAGTAGGATTTTTGTCTGAAATGTTGATTAGGCATATTAACATTCTGATTTAGTACATTACTATAAGCTGAATTTCCAAAACTTGAATTATCATGTGGCCCAAAGTTAAAAGCATGAGGTCGATTAAAACCCAGGCCCAGGGGATTCTGAGGAAATGGGTGTGGCTGATTCCTGAGTGAGTAAGGGCCACAGTATGGGGAGGACATTCTGGTTCTCGGCGGGATGTGAGGTGGCATTCTGAACGTGCTGTACCCCCCAAAGCCGGGATACCCGGGGCCCAGATACTGGTTGGAGGAAGGCAGTGGCTTATAGGAAACGGTGTTATAGTTGTCGTCAAATGGGTTAGCAGCCACTAGGTGGTCAGAGTTCGGGTTTGGTGGTGGAGCATACTCGGACAGCGGGAGCAGAGAGGGTCCCTGCAAAGAGAGTGTGAAGTGTGACACCTGTTTTTGATCAGAGAAGTCGTTACACTTGTCCTCTTTTCTTATATCAATGAATTTGATTTTAGTCAAATTTCTCTAACGCTGTTCAGAAAATTTAATCTCTTCATTGACTTTTCAATTACAATTTTAGATTTAATTACACTAAGAGATAACACATATAACAATGATAAAACTATCCATGTCTTTCATTTATTATTATTATTATTATTATTATTATTATTATTATCCTTTTGAGACAGGGCTTCACTATGCAGTTCTGGCTGGCCTTGAGCTCACTTTGTAGCCCAGGCTGGTCTCGAACTCACAACGATCCCGTGCCTCAGCTTCCTGAGTGCTGGCATTGCAACATGTGTGCCACCACATCCAGCTTGGCCTCATGTTGTAAAGATAAATTGCCAATTTTAATCACACCATAAGTTAAACAGGGGCCAAAAGAGGGAGAAGAATAATTTGCACAAATATCTTTATCCATAGTCCTTAGCATCAAAAGGATGCTTCACATTTACAGACGATAAAACCCTAAATGCTGGGAAACATCACTTCCTACAGCCACAAGTAAAGACGGAGCCTCCGTCATGGCTGCCTCCTGGCTTGCACCTAGCACTGAATTACAAAGAATGTTACTTTATGTTAAAATTGCTTCTGCACATCTTTAAATCTTTTCATAGGACTATGTGCATTTATACATTTAAAAGCCCTTAAATTAGATTTAGGAGCAAGCATTGTACTTTGTCGGCCCATGCTTTCTCCGGTTCTCTACTGCTCAAAAGCAGCCACTGCTTGCAGACTGAGCAACCAGTCCCTGCAGAATTCACCATAAGTTCTACTGTGTGCTAAAGGAGGATAGGAAGCAAAACCACAATCGAATTTAAATTTCCCTTACCAGCCCAATCACGCCAGCAGAAGAAAGCTGCTACTAAAGAAAACACCGATTTACCTGTGTACTTGCCTTTCGTTTTTTCTTATCGGGGCTTCCTAGTTGTATGCCTGGTCCTCCTAACCCATCCAGTCCACTATCACCACCTAAAAAAGATGGATCATACCTCTACTTGTAAGTGAGCTCACTTTACAGCGCTCATAGTAGTACTGTATTTACCCTGTTAATAGGTTCTCTATTTTTGTTGGATGAAAGCAGTACTAAACTTTAATTCTGTCCCACAAAAAGTTGTTGTCCCAATTGTTTCTTTTTGGCCAGGAGTTGAACTCAGGGCCTTGCGCTTGCCAAGCAGGTGCTTGTGCCACTGAGCTAATCCCTAGCCCTTCAAAGAGTTTCATGCAGAAATCATTATTTATCTGTTCCCATCATTATTATTCTTTCAGTGAAAAATAGTCTCCCTTCCATCCTTGAACTATTATTAATCCAGCATTCTAAGTCCACCATTACTGGTGGCTTCTGGATAATGCAGGCATACTCCAATATAGCCAAGTGATCACACACAGAAGTGCTGGCTCTAACTTGCTTCTTCGCTTGGCGATCACTTGGTGCCACCACACTATGGACCTTAATACTGGAGCAGTGTTCTATAACGTGATTATTCATAATTCATTAAACTGCCCCTTCCCTATTGGATATTTAGGCTTCCAAACTTTTGCTGTGACTGCAATAAAAGCTCATGCATAAATGTCTTTACATACCTATGCAAGTTATTCCTAGAATGGGAATTGTGGCATCAGAGGTACATGGTTTTTAATTCTTAGGGATACTGTCCAAATGCAACACTGTTTGCAAATAGTTTTCTAAACAGTATGTAGTGCAGCAGTGAACTCTGTTAACTTAATAAAGTTGCCAATGGAATTTTTTTCACTTTTGAAAACGTTCAGCTATGAAGAATTGTGCACACACACAGTGTGGGAACCACAGGACAATCAACCTCATCTACCTCACGAGTCATAGTCAATCTTATCTCAAAACTGCCTCCACTCCTCCCCAAACCCACTTTGAAACAAATTCCAGACATATTACTTCATCATAAATAGTTCAGGATTAAAAACCAATGAAAAAAACCACAAAACCCTGAAATTTGTCTCATACCTACAAAAATTAGCAATATTCCTGTAGTATTTAATATCTAAGTCAAAAATCCCACAATATTTGGTAAGGCTTACTTAGGCTGGGACCCAAGTATGATTCACACATTGTAGTTGGTTGACACGTCTTTTCATGGATGATCTCCTGCCATCATTCTGCTCTTCACCGTGTTACCCGAATCCTGGAGCACGACGGCTGGTGTCCCGCCTACTAAGCCAAGCTGTCTGCGATGCTCAGCCTGGACTTTGCAAGTTACACTTCGCTTCAGCCAGACCTGCAGGGTCTGGGAGGCAAGGAGGGCTGAGGGGTTTCCACCCTTCTGCTCCCTGCTGCTCCGTCTGTCCTCCTCCACGGTAACCTTCTGTTACGGGTTCTACGCTCCAGCTTTCTGACTCTTCCTCCAAACCAGCTCTCACCTGCTCTCTCCTCAGAGGCACCAGCACCAGCAGACAGAACCTCAGCGTCTGCTGGGCCAAGGCTGTTCTGGACTCCTCCTCCAATCTTCTAGGCTTCAGTAACAACTTTTCTTTGTTTACTAAACCCTAAATCTGGAAGTTAACTTGCTTTTTGCTCCTTCAATTCAACACTGTTCAACACCAGTTCTTTGTATACAATTATGTTAAATTACAGCTATGATTTGTTTTCCTGCCGGGAATGTATGCTATATCTAGATTTTGCTGGTTGTATCCCCTTGTAAAATGGTAGCTGGGTCCAATTTAGAGTTCTGGTTTTTGCAACACTGCTTCACAGGTGGTGGTCTGTTCTTCCATCAGAAAGCACGTAACTTGGTTTTTGTCAGCACTTCTTTTCCTTTATGTAAATTATCACACATCTGGTCACTTATCACCTGAGGCTGGCGGGAAAGCTGTGGCAGGGTGTGTGCTTCTCAAGTGGAAGGCCTGAGTTGGAACCCCAGCACCAGAAAAGCAGATGGAATCAAAAGGTATCAGTATTCCCAGCAAGGCCTCTCCAAGAGGGATTTCAAACTCAAGAGAACTGCAAACTTGTTTACACTTGTTTGTACAAGAATATTCAAACCGGGGGCTGGTGAGATGGCTCAGTGGTCTAAAGCACCTACTTAGAACAAGCTTAGCGAAAGCACAGGGACCACGGTTCAATCCCCCAGCACCACATGCCAGCCAGCCTCGCCCCCTGCTGGGCTGAGCTGGCCACACACGTGCACACACCCACACACACACCCACACACACACACATAAATAAATAAAAATTAAAAAAAAAGACATAACATAACTTTTTTGTTTACCAGGTACTTTAAAAATTGTGTTCAGGGCCAGAGAGATGGCTCAGCAGACTAAAGTGCCTGCTTATGCAAGCTTAGGCAAATATAGTGACTGCAGTTTGATCTCTAGCTCCACCTCCCGTGCTGGCCCTGCCACCAGAGCTGGGGAGGCTGAAAGCAGGAGGATCACCAAGAGTCTAAGCAGTGTAGTGAGACCCAGTAACAACCAAGTACATTTAAAAAAAATTTCTTC